GACTGCTACGTCAAATGTCAAGCGAGGTACAAAAAGAATGACTTGTGCATATTATCGTCGACGTATATTCTGATAAGAATGGCAGTGTACCGAATTAAACAACAACGCTATGCATTCCATTGAAGCTCTTTTCGTAGCAATTTATCGATACCTAAAGTATCAATTAACGTAAGGGACATTTTGTCGAAAATGAGTTACATAAATCATTGGATTCGGAAATTCCCGCTCTATCGATTGGTATTATTAAAATGTAGGAATGACCAGTGTTTTAAAATATAGCACGTCCTTTACATTAAAAAACATTAAAAAAAGATGTTTAGCTGTGCCTTAGGTTAGTAATATTTTATGTGTAAAATGCTCGACGGTTTACACGCAAAATATTCGTAACTTAACGCACAACTAAACATCTTTTTTTAATGTAAGGGACACGCTATATTTCAAATCACTGGGCATTCCTAAATCTCACGTATACAGCATGAAAGAATAGGAATTTCTAAGAAACTTCGCTCTAGACACAATCAAAATTGGAGCAGACAGTGTTATAGACATATCGAGTTCTTAGGTTTTCGCGATTGTTATACATAGGAATGAAACTATTTTTCCGGATTTAAATCCGGAAAAATAGTTTCATTCCAGTGTTATAGACAGTTTAAAAAAAATAAAATCGTTTTTTGGCTCTCCTCAAAAACCGTGGTTTGACCCTTACATTAATTGACACTTCTGGTATGGTTGTTTTTCAAGGGTTTTAGTATTAAAAGTGATGCCCTACGTGACATGGTCACACTGTAATTCGATAGTTAGTTAAATAAATTATATACGATTTTTGAAAATGGAATAGATATGGTTACATAATATTAAGTAGCAGTAGAGTTTGCTCCTTGTGAAAGAGTTTTCGAGGGAAGCACATTACTTGTTTGTGCCGCCAAGCAGTAATGTGAGCATTACTGCGATCCGGTTTTGAAGGGTAAGGTTGCTGGTGAAATTACAGGCAGATGGGACTTATTAACTCATGCCTCAGGGTGACAGACGTAGTGGCGGGCTTCTCAGATCTTTGCGATTTATAGCTCTGGAGTGGCATCTCAACTGCTACTGACAGGTGTGTCGCTTACTGCCAGCGCATGACTTTCGTGCCGTCACTTGTTATCGTGAAAAAATATATTATGTGAAGTTTTAACACTAATCTGATTTCTTTTAGATAAGACGATTAGTCATAATATATTCCGTCCATAACATTGGTTAATTATCTATAACCTTTTTACTTAAATAATTATTTGATTTGAAATGGTACACTCGTATTACTAATACCTACTACTAATATTTTCAGAACTGTGAATATGAAATCTGACGTCCAGTTTTTTTAAATTGTGTACAACATTCATAGCTTGTGTTTAGTCACGATCTCTGAATTGTATGTAAACAGAAAGGACCACGGAAGTGTTATTATATTACACAGAGTGTATCGGTGATGCTAACATGCATCGTCACCTTATGAAGTTTATTGACACTTCACGAAACTAGAACTTATTATATGAGGCGTCCGGTAATGAATGGATAAGCTAGAAATACAGTATAAGTTATGATTTCAAAAAAATACAAAGACTACAAGATAGTAGGTACATTTCAAGTAGTACCTAAGATTATGGTTTTTTCCTTAAAATGAATTTTATTTTTTTACCTTTTTACAAGTTGTAAAAATCTTAATTAAAACTAAAAAATCAGAAGGCAGTAGTACTCTGATTCCAGAAATGGAGACGAGTGCGACACGTAAGTATAATTATAGTTCCTTCTAAAAGAACGTGAGCAAATATTTTTTTTTTAAATTAATAACAACAAACTCCGTTCAGGCGTTTTCAACCAAAAAAAGCCGACAAATTCATATTAATTATGCTCTTGCAAAAAGTTCACATAAATTACGACTGTTTTTATTTATTTTTAGAACCA